GCAAACGTTGAGGTGCAACCTATGCTGTGCAACGTACGCGAACAAGTTTCAGTGGTGCAATCTGCGTGATGCCATAGACGTTTCGCAAAATACGCTGAGCACCATCGTTTGCGCATTATTCGCTGTGGAAGATAGGTCGTGTGCAATACATTGGTGAATTCGATCTGGTGCCCCATATGTGGAACAATCCATGCTGTACAATATAGATACAGCAAGCTCTGTGACACAACGTGCGGTGCAGTATATGTTGTGTTATATTATATATAACGTATATATACATATATATGTGTGTGTGGCGCAGTCAAAATCGGTGCGATCGGTGTGGTGCAGTCTATGCGGCGTAAGTGATTTCAACAAACGAGCTAGCACATCCCATGCTGTAGCAAGCATCTCACCGACCCACCCGCAACTTTGTTTGCAAAACCCATGCGGTGGCGATTGCGACGAGCGCTTGCCTTTCGCTGGTCCAGTTCTGCGGTCGCGCCAGCCCAAGCGCGCGCGCAGCGGCCAGCGAGTTTGGCCCGACCCACGCGGCCGCGGTGGCGCTGACCGCTGGGAACATCCCAGCTGGCATGTTACTGCGTGGCGGCGACGTCGGCGGGCGCGGTATCATGGCAACGTCGACAACGGTAAACACGATGATGATCGTAGCGATGTTGGTGGCGATGCTGGCAACGACGACTGCCCAGACAGTGCGGGCGCCGATGCTGATCACGCCGTCGACGATGACGGCGTCTTCGCCTCGGTGATGAATGTTTTGGAAGGAGTTCGATATGCGCGCGCGGCCGACGCGCGAGTGTGTTTTTATTGGACACGGATCGTACCCCCCCCCCCCCCCCCAGCACGCGCGCAATGGCGTGCGAATAATGTCGGCATGTGGCGCCAGAGGCCCGCTTGGCAGAATTCCATGAAAATGTTGAAAAGCCTATGGTTTGTTTCAAGAATGCGCAAGAGCTCGAGCGCCCGCTTTTTTGGAAACTGACGTGGCGAAGCCATGTGCTTTTGCACATATGTTAGATTCGATTTTTCGTCCAATCGCTACGACACCAAAGGTTTTTGATAGGTTGCGGCATGCGCGCGCGACGACGCGCGCGCGTACACTCCATCACATGTTGTTCAAGGTTCTCGCGACGGCATGCGCGCAAAGGCGTTCGAACGATTTCGGCATGCGCGGGCCAAGCCCGATGGGTAGCATGTTATGAAAATGTTGTAAAACCGGTGGGTACCGTAAGAATTCGCAAGAGCGCGCGCGCAAGCTTTTTCTGAAACCCGTGTTGCGAAACCCTGGTGTTTATATGTTGCGCGCGCGACGACGCGCGCGTGTGTCATTCCTTTTTGTTCACAAGGGGTTCTTAACAACCTATGATTGTTGATAAACGAGCGCGCGCGCATCTATTCTTTCCCAAAGGATGAGGGGGGGGCGATACCAGCCTGGCTGGGATGGTACGAGTTCACATTTCGGATGGACGGTCGGCCAAAATCAAATGCAATTTGCGATACGAAAAGGGGGTCGATGATCCCTGGGGGGGTTATTTTCCTTTTAGAAACGAGAATATATGCGATGCGCAAATTATGTTGTGCAATGCGCGTGGAGCAATTTAGGTGGTGCAACACATGCTGCGTAACATACGTTGTGCAATCTAGGTTTTTCCTATCTGTGTTGTGCAACCTTTGCGTTGCAACCTATGTGGTGCAATTCGCCTTGCCGAGCATGAAGTTGACGACCCCACTGCTCGCGCAATCATCCCACCCTCCCACCCGCAATTTGGTTTGCAACACCCATGCGGAAGCGATTGCGATGAGTGTTTGGTGTTGGCTGGTTCATCTCTGCGGCCGCGCTAGCCCGCGCATGCTCGCGCGCGCAGCGGCCAGCTAGTCTGGCCCGACCGACGCGAACGCGTTGGCGCTGACCGCTCGGCACATCCCAGCGGGCACTTCAATGCGAGTCGGAGATTTGGGCGGGCGCGGTACTCTGACAACGTCGACAACGGTAGACACGATGATGATAGTAGCGATGCTGGCGAAGATGCTGACAGCGACGGCGGGGCAGCCAGTGACGGCGCCGATGCTGATCACGCCGACGACGATGACGGCGTTTTCGCATCGGTGATGAAGGTTCCGAAAGGAGTTCGACATGCGCGCTCGGCAGACGCGCGAGAATGGCCCGCATGATATCATTCGACTCGCGCCGTGTTACCCCAGCACGCGCGCAAGGGCGTCCGAACGATTTCGACACGCGCGCGCGAAGCCCGTTTGGTAACACGTTATATGAAAAGCGCTGGAGCCAAAAATATGTTTTTCTATTTAATTCGCAAGAGCGCGTGCGCAAATTGCTTTTGAAAATCCGCGTTGCGAAGCCATGTTTTTAATTTGTTTTGTGAACACTCGATTTTTCAATCCTTGCGACACCGGAGGTTCCCGAAGGATTTCGGCATGCGCGCGCGACGACGTGCGCGCGTGTACCTCGTCACGTTTGTTGCAAAGGATTATTGAGAACCTAAGAATGTTGATCAACGAGTGCGCGCGCAGAGTGTTGTTTTGCAGAGGATGGCGGGGGGGGCGATACCGGTTTGGCTGGGATGGTATGGTTCATAGTTAGGATGGAAGATGGGACACAGTCACGTGTAAATTGCAATACGAAAAGGGGAACCGAGAATCCCAAGGGGGAGTCAATGTTTTTAGAGAAGAGAATACACGTGGCGCAGTCTATATGTTGCAGCTCTTCTTGCGGCGACGGGGCGGCGACGGCGATTAGATCGTTGACAGACCAACGCACAGGCACAGACGATGGCCGGCGACGAGGCGGCGACGAGGCGGCGACGGCGACAACATAGCCGCCAGATTGGCGCACAGGCCCACACGACGGGCGGCAACGCGGCGACGACGACAGCACAAGCACACAGTTTTAAGTCGCAGCGCGGCAGAGGCAATCCGCACGCGCGCTCGGGCACGAGACCTGGACACGGTGTCGCGAATTTGCCCGCATTCAAGAGGGGAGGAAGGGAGGGAGAGGGCGGCCGCGGAGAAGGGAGCCGCAGCGCGGGGCACTCCAACGCAGTGAGGCCGCGGGGAGCGCGCGGGAGCGGCCGGGCTGAAGGGCAACCCCTGGCAACAGTCGCGCGGCGGCGTCACGACGCACCCAGGGGCAGGGCCAGCAGCTGCCGCACGAGCGCAGCCCAACAACTGGAAGAGCGGGAGCGGCAGGCTGCCGGAAAACCGGGGCGCCAGGCGGGGTGAGGCAGGGCCGTGGGCGCGTGGCGGCGGGCCAAGGGCGCGGTGCGACCGGCGCTGCGGCAGCTGCGAAGGCGGCCCCCAGGCGGAGACGTGGCGGGCGGGCCAGTGGCGAAGCGCAACTGGGCAGCCGGGCCGTGGGCCGCAGGGTGCCGAGAGCGCAAGCGGCGGAGACGCGCACGCCATGCCGAGGCCGGCCCACGGCATCACGGCCTGGGACTTGGCGGGGCCCAGCGCGAGTGACGCACGGGCGGGGTTCCCACGGGGGGGAAGGCGGGGAGCGGGACGGGCCGCTACGCGGCGCCGTCCGGGGGGGGGCGCGGGGGGGGGGGGCGTGGGCGGCAGCCACCGGGGAAGCACCCCCAGGGGAGGGCGGTGCTGCGTGCCATGCAGCACCGGCACGGGCCGGAGCAGGAAACACCGGAAGGGAACCGCAAGGGCGGAGACCCCCAGGTGGGGCAGCGGCCCAGCCACTTTTATCAAGCAATGGCGAAGCGTCCTGGTTAAATGTTCAATTGGAACATTTCAGGTTGAGACTGCCTTGTTTTAACACATCGGGTTAATGTTCTGAGAACATCGCTTTGGTTCTAAGAACATTTTCGGGTTCTAGGAACATTTCGTGGTAGGATTAGAGGAATGCCGGGACGGTCGGGCCCAGCCACTGGTAAGCCCTGGGGCTGCGGGAGCCAGCCTCCACCAGGGCGCGGCCCAGCGCGCCGCTCGCATGGTGACCGGCGGGAGGCAGAGTGCGGCGGCTGCCGCGGCAGGGCAACGCTGGGACGGGGCGGGGCCCGAGGTGGCTTCAGGGCAGGAAGGCGGCGCCCTGGCCGCCACAGCGCCGAGGAGGGGCTGCGCCGACGCGGCGCAGGGAGGGGGGCGCAGGGAATCGGCAGAAGTGGGCCCCACCTGGGAGCAGGCGGGAGGCGGCAAGCGGCCATTCCCAGAGATCTTCAGCGCAAAATCAAGACAGAGGTTTTTTGTTCAATGCTCGGCCTCTATATATGGGGCCCACGCCAGGCCCCGGGAGCGTCCAAGAACGACTCGGGATGAGAAACCGGCCCTGGGGAATAGGGTCGAGGCTTCTGGGGGGGCCGCGCATGGGAAAACATCGCAGCAGCGGATCTTTGGGCGAGGCGCGAAGATGCCAGGAGCCCGCGCGCCAAACGGGATGGACGCGGGGTGGAGGGGGGAGAGGTTTTCACAGGGGACTCACTTGTAGGGGTGGGGGGGTCGCTTAGAAAGCGCGGAAGATTTACCCGACAGCAGAGGAGCAGATTAACACGCCTCAGCGAGCACAAGGCACAGTGGCGGTTATACAGAGTTATATATATATATATAGAAAACAACAAAAAATATAAATAGAGAGTGACAGAGAAATATAAGCAATCAAACAGAGACGAGACGAGAAGAAAGAGGAGAGAAGAGAAGTGAAGAGACGAGACGAGACGAGAAGAGAAGAGAGAAGAGGAGGGAAGAGGAGGGAAGAGGAGAGAAGAGGAGAGAAGATAAACGAGAGAAGGAGAGAGAGAGAGAGAAGGAGACAAGAAAGAGAGAACGGTACTGATAGATAACGAGAGAAAGAGAGAGAGAGAGAGAGGCGGAGACACAGACGAGACAGAGAGAGGAGTTGGGGGAAAGGTGACGAAACGCCACTGAAGCGTAGCGAAGCGCCAGCGAGGAGGAGGAGGAGGGGGTGGCAACCAAATGGCAGAGGTCTTCGCGAGCGTGAGGCTCCGAGAGCGGCGGGCGCGCGGACAGTCGGAGGGGAGGACGCCGATCAACACTGCGTTCCTGACGTTCTTCCTGGTCGAGGCCGCCGGGCCTCCGCCTCGCGGGCTGGTCTGCGGCGCCTTGGCATTCTTTCTCGCCCTGGCGTTGACCTCCTCCTCCTCCTCCTCCTCATTCGCCTCTTCCTCTCGCCCTCCCCCCCCTCTCGCTCACGCTGCTGCTCCCCGTCGCCGTCGCCTTCTGCATCTGTTCCCCGAGCAGTGCTTGCACCGAGGGGTCCTTACTTGTGGTCGAAGGAGCTGGGCCTGACCGCCGGTCTGGCGGCTGTGTTGTCGCCGTCGCCGCCCCGTCGCCGCCCGTCGTCTGGCATTTGGTCGTCGGTCCGGCCGCTGTGTCGCCGCCCCATCGCGGCTTCGACGCCTCCCGTCATATATATATATATATATATATACACACAGACATACATACACGCAGACACGCATTCCTCTCTCCCTCCCTGTCCATCTCTCTCTCTCTCTCTCGCTCGATCTCTCGCAGCCTTTTTTTCCTGCCTTTCTCCCCATCTCTCTCTCTCTCTCTCTCTATTTATCTGAAGGGCTGCGCCCTCTGCCACAGGGCCCCTGAGGCGGACCCGTCTTGGGATCATCTCGGATCTCGGGTCACTTATCATTTTCTTGGGGCATCCAGGAGCCTATTGGGAACATTTCGGGGCCATATTTGGGACTCTCGGGAGCATCTTGAAGCCGATTTGGAGCCGACTTGGGCGGTACTGGTGGCGTCCTGGGGCCTCTGGAGGCCACCTTGGGCAATGTTGGAGCTATCCTGGCCATCTGGGGTTCGTCTTGACGCAATCTTGGGACGTCGTGGGAGCATAGCAGGCGACAAGCAGAATACGTTGAGAAACCTTCTCGGGGGGGCTTGAGTTCAATTTGACAGGTTTTGGCGGAGGGGGGGCGTCTTGAGGCTGCCGTGAGGCTCTCTTGGGCCGTCTTGAGGCCTTGGGGCCATCCTTGGGCCCTCTTGGTGCGCTTCTGGAGAAATGTTTGGCCTTCTTGGTCGCCCAGCGGCATCCCTGTAACAGTTCTCCTTCTCCTGATCCTCATCCTCCTCGTCCTCATCTTCCTCCTCCTCCGCCTCCTCATCCTCCTCCTCATCCGCCCTGCTCCCTCCCCCCCCCTCCTCCATGGACTCCGCCCTCTCACCCTCCCCCTATCATTAGCCTCCCTTCCCCTATCCTCATCCTCCCACGTTATTCATCGTCTTCCGTCTCCTCCTCCTCCTCCTCCTGCTCCTCATCCGCCTCCTCCTGCCGCGGGTGACCAGAGCCTCTCGCACTCTGGAGCCTGGTAGACATGGCTGTCTGGAGCATCCTGGCGGGCTGCACTCGTAGTCCGGCGCGCTCGTGCGCCCTTTTGTGTCGCGGGGCTCCAGCAAGTCCACGGAGCATCGGCACTTGGCCCTCTGGTGCTGCATGAGGCCGCGGTGTACTTCACTGCCAGCGTCAAGCTACTCCCCACAGAGGTCAATGCTAGCAGCCGGCTACACGTAAGAGTGGCATTCCGCGGGAGTGACCTTAGGTGCGGGCCCAGTGGGGCCTCCCGATCGCTGAGTGCGATGCGATGCCAGCGGCTGGCGTGCCTGGCGGTGCCCCCAAAGGGCCCACCCTTGGCCGCGCACTAAGGAGTACTCTTGCCTAGGGTCATTCTTGCGTGTAGCCGAAGCAAGTCGCGGCGGGCGGGGCTAGGACGAGGGTAAATCTGTTCCAGGGCGTTCTGGAACGCTCTCAGAGCGTTGCGGAATGCTATGAGAAGGCCGCGGCGCCCGATGCATCGTCCAGAGCCGCCGGGATCTCACAGAGTCTCAATTCATCCTCGCCCGGTTTTATCCTTGTCCTGGCTTCGCCTCAAGTCGGGATGGCTGGCTACTTCGCCCAAACCGCAGCAAGCCTGTGAGCCAGCCGCCGAGCGTCTCGGGCTGCACTGGGCCGCTGGAGCTCGGAGCCCTGGGCACGAGGCGCGCGCCCGGCCGACGTCGAGCGCAGCCACTGTGGAAGCGCGGAGGGGGCGCGCTTCGCGGGCCCGAGGGCCGCGGGATAAGAGGCTCCGCAGCGCGCGGCTGGGCTTGGCGCTCTGGCGGGCGAGGGGGTGGATTTTTGGATTGCAAGCGCGATGAACCTGTGACGGCTGTCGCGAGAGAGTGGCGCTGCAGCTAGCGCCACTCTCTCGCGACAGCCGTCACAGGTTCATCGCGAGAGAGTGGCGCTAGTGAGGGAGGGAGAATGGAGGACTTGAAGTAGTGTGGCCCTGGGGCGCCTTAGCCCCGTCCGCGGACCAGGTTCCTGGGTGTCACCGCCCTGGAGGGCCCGGCGGCCCGGCCGGACGGAGTGGCCACGCCGCATAATGGCCTGACGCGAGCGGTGTCTGGCCACTGGCTGCGTTGCTGGACCCAGTGGCAAGCAAAGCTGGTCCACGCGCTCTGGCGGGCGGGCCGGATGCCCTCAACGGATCATGAGGGCACCGTCTCGGGCACCTCGGGCGAGCACCTCGCCACGCTGCTGCACATGACGTGCATGCTGTGCCGCGGGCGAGGCGGCGTACGGCGCGGACTCCATCACGCTGCGGGGTGGGGTGAGGGGGGAGGGCTTCTTAGAAGCACCCCTGCTTCTTAGAAGGCGCGGGCCTTCTCTATACATGTGAAGCCAGCGACTTCTAAGAAGCAGCCCCCGTCTAAGAAGCCTCCCCCCCTCCTCCTACCCCCTTCTGCGCGCCGCCAAAAATGAGTGTCGATCCCGAGGAGAAGGTTGAGGCTATGGGGAGGCGGAGAGGAAGAGGAACGTGAAGAGGGCGTCAGAGACATGAGGGTTCCTGGGATTTGTGTCCATTCATTTGTGTCCCCCTGGGCCCCTTCACGTGGGCGGGGGGTGGGGGGGGGAGGGCCTGGGGGGGCTGCTGGGACCTCGCTCCCACTGGCTTGGTTCTGGGGGCGGAGGCCCAAAGAGTCGCCTCTTCTGACGCGACGCTCAGCATTCGAGGCGGGAATGTATGCATACCCACCGCCTGGTGGATCGATCTTCGGGGACTTCAGCAGGTGGTGGATAATGATCTAATCGGCACCCCCAGGGCCAAAATATATCCATCAGGACGTCGATTCCCAGGCGGTGGATCTGGCTCAATCCCCGCCTCGCACAACAGCCCGCTGGGCGCGGTGGGAACTCCTCCGCCCGACATGGCCCAGTTGAGAATGACATCCCGCACGAGCCTGAACTGTCCGACGTCTGTCTGCTCTGTTCCGCGTGTCGCCCCGCCGGTGCTGGCCCACCACGCTTCGGCGCGACGCGCGAACCACGTCTCCTCTTTCCAAGTGCCAAGGTGTCACAAGCTTTCCCCCGCCTCCCGCCACGCGGTGCGGAACGACACGATATCCGCTCATGCAGGGTGCAGCGTGTCGCCAGGATTGCCGCCCCGACACGCTGAGCAAAAGCTCCCCTCTCCACTCCCCTCCTCCTGACCCTCCTCCTCCTCCTCCTTTCTCTCCTCCTCCTCCTCCCCCTCCTCCTCCTCCTCCTCCTCCTCCTCCTCCTCCTCCTCCTCCTCCTCCTCCTCCTCCTCCTCCTCCCCCTCCCCCTCCCCCTCCTCCTTCCCCTCCTCCTCGCCTCGGCGCGACACGCGAATCGCGTCGCGGGCCCCTCCCAGTTGCGACAGTGACGACGATCCAAAACGCCCGCTTCGTGCTCTTCACTCCCAGGCGCCCGCAGGCCTCGGCAATGCAAGCCCTCGAAGAGCAGCGACCTGGGAAGACGACCACGAGGACGACGAGGATTGACGACGGCGATCGACGGACGACAACGAGAACGACGACGACGACGACGACAATCGACAACAGCGACGAGAGGACGACCACGATCGAGTCGACGATCGACGACGATGACCGACGATCGACGATCACGATCGACGATAGACGACGATGTTCGACGACGATGACGACGACGACCACGAAGGCGACGACGATCGAGGATGCACTACGATCGACGATCGACGATCGACGATCGACGACGACGACGACGACGACGACGACGACGACGACGACGACGACGGCGATGGCGACGGCGACGACGACGGCGACCGACGACGACGACAACGATGACTGTCGATGGCTGTCGGCTTCGCGCCCGCAGTTGCTCGGCCGCGTGTACGTCTACAGGCGGTCGTTCTTCACCCTGAAGGCCACGCGGGGCCCCCTCTCACGGCGTGGTGACCACACCGCGTGGTGAGCCAGTGGTTGATTTTGAGCGGATGTTACAGTCAACCCGCACAGTAAGGATGGGCAACCTTCCCAAGGGTGCCCTTGCATCCTTGCCTCCTCGGTCCATCCTTCGCCACTTTCGCTGGTCGCGCCCCGCTCGAAAAGCTTCGAAATGGGCGTCCAAGGCCCTTGCATCCTTATCGCGCATCCTTATTATACGGGTTGACTGTACCCAGCAAGACATCCTGCGGCTTCCAAAATCCAAGACGGTAGATTCAAAGCATGTTCTGCCAGCGGGGACCGTTTCCGGGCATAGGGACCGTCAAGAATCGTCCGGGGCGAACAGAGCGGTTTTGTGATGGGATCAGGGGGTTCCCAGGCCTTCATGATGATTCCTCCCCCTCCTCCTCCTCCTCCTTATCATGTTTCCGTCGCGCCCATCTATGTTATTCCTCATCCTCGTGCTGCTGCGCTCGCTGGCCCAACATGTGCAGCAGGTCCCCTCGGTCACACGCTGCACGGCGTGTGCCGGTCAGGGCGTCACGGCTCAAACAAGTTCGGCAAGGTTCTCCAGAAGGACAGTGCAGATGTCTTGGCCGGGGACCAGACGCTGAACGGCGCAATGAGGCCATAGACTCTGTGAAGTGCTGGCAGCCCTGGAGCGGTAACCCCGACAGCCGTCGCCCTGTTCTTCGAAGGCCCCCGAACGGTGACCACACCGCGTGGTGAGTCGATGGGGACGCGGGGTCACCGCGCGGGTTTGGCACTTGAGCCGTTCTCCGAGGACGTCTCGAGCGTCTGCCCCCAGGGCCCCAAGACCGTGCGGTGGCGGACCGCGCGGTGAGGTCGCTGGGGATCTCGACGTCACCACACCTTCCGCCACCACTTCGCTCCTCCTCCTCCTCCTCCTCCTCCTCCTCCTCCTCCTCCTCCTCCTCCTCCTCCTCCTCAGACGCTCCAACCTCCTCTCCTCCTCCTGCTCCTGCTCCTCCTCCTCCTCCTCCTCCTCCTCCTCTCCTCCTCCTCCTCCTCCTCCTCCTACCCACGTCGCTCCTCCTCCTCCTCCTCCGCCTCCTCCTCCTCCTCCTCCTCCTCCTCCTCCTCCTCCTCCTCCTCCCCCTCCTCCTCCTCCCCCTCCTCCTCCTCCTCCTCCTCCTCCTCCTCCTCCTCCTCCTCCTCCTCCTCCTCCTCCTCCCCCTCCTCCTTCCGCCCCCACACGGGGTTGGGACACCCGAAGGCCGCGGGAGGCGCGGCCCGAGCTGGTGGCTGCGGCTTGCGGCTGCGGCTGCGGGCGCGCCGGGGCCCTCTGAACCAGGGCAGTGCGGGCCAGGGGAGGGAAGCGGAGAAGCCAAGGCGCGGACACGACGTCGACGGCGGGAGGGAGGAGGAGGAGGGGGAGGAGGAGAGAAAGGAGGAGGAGGAGGAGGAGGAGGAGGAGGAGGAGGAGGAGGAGGAGGAGGAGGAGGAGAGAAAGGAGGAGGAGGAGGAGGAGAGAGGAGGAGGAGGGAGGAGGAGGAGGAGAGAGGAGGAGGAGGAGGAGGAGGAGGAGGAGGAGGAGGAGGAGGAGAGAAAGGAGGAGGAAGAGGAGGAGGAGGGGGAGGAGGAGATAAAGGAGGAAGAGGAGGAGGAGGAGGAGGAGGAGGAGGAGGGGGAGGGAAGGAGAAGGATCACTGGCCAGGCTGCCAGATCCACGAACGCGCCGGCAGCCATCAGGCAGTCCCAGCATCTCCTCTCGTTGTGTACAAGATTACGACGGATGGTTTTTGCTAGTTTCTGTCTTTGGAGGCCTCGCCAGGCCCCGGGACCGTAAAACAACTGCTCAGGCAGAAAAGCCGCTCTTGGGGAATAAGCTGAGGCCTTTGGGGGTCGACGTTGCGAACACTATCCGGCGCAAGTGATTCTACACTTGGCAGCTACGCCTAGCAAGACTGCGACCAAGGTGGCCAAGAAAATGTTTGTCACTCCGACGTATGCACTCTCTGTGCGAGCAGCGCCAGCAGACCCTGTTTCCTTCCACTTGCCTCCAGCACTGCGAACTACGACCCTCGTCAAAATTAACTTCAAAAATGTCGACCGCGCGCCCCTGCGATGTCGGCGCGCCCTTCAATGTCGATAGACGCCCCTCCAATGTCGGGGCCAGGGCAAAACTGATCTGGCTGGGTACGACTCGGAAGTTCGATGATGACGGACACTGGAGGGGAGGGGCGGCGCACACAAGTACCTCGCAGTCACCACTGCTCTGTCCAGTACCTCCCCACAAACAGTTCAGCCACGTAAGACACTTTTGAGCTTAAGTCGGGCCTGTCCCTCTACAGGAGGAATGTCCAAAAATAGTCAGAAAATAGTCTGGGGACGATTCTTCACATTTTTTAGCATGTTGGTCGTTTTTTTCTGCATTTTATTTAATCGCTTCGCTCATTCCGCCGGCCCTGGAGCCCTCTTTAGGGCCTCTTGGGGGCCTCTTGGGAGTCTCTTGGGAGTCTCTTGGGGCTCCTTGGCGCCGTCTTGGGGGCCCCCAGGGCCTCTTGGGGGGCTCTTGTGGGCCTCTTGGGGCGGGAGGGGGGGTAGTCGATTGCGGCTCCCCCCTCGGAGGCCACGATCCTCGTGAGGGGTGTCGAAAAATTGCCTGGTCCAGGGTCTCCTCCCAGGCTTTGCCCGGGGTACTTTTCGCACGGGGACTCCCAGGGGCCGCCCCGCGAGCGCGGATTAGAAATATTGTTAACCAGTTACTAGAGATCTTAGCACGCCTCTGGCCCGTTGGGCCGGCAAATATTTGTCGTCCACGATCCCCCTGTAGGGGGACACGCCCGACCTCATTTCGAGGTTCATTTGCACGAGGGTGGTAGGACTTTGACAAGTCCACCCGGAGAGGACGAAGAACAAAGAGAACGCTTCAGCCCACGGCCGCAGTTGCCTCGGGCGCGCCAGCGTCCTGGCTTCTGTCGAGGTCCCCGCTCAAGAAGGGGGCCCTGAGGCTCGCGCGAGGAGGAGGAGGAGGAGGAGGAGGAGGAGGAGGAGGAGGAGGAGGAGGAGGAGGAGAGGCTGCAGAGGAGGGAGGCTCGGGGCGGCCAAGAGGAGGGGGTGATGGCTGGGGCTTGGGGGGGATCGTGGCCGGGGCCACGAGATCTCCCCGGACGTTGTAGCCCCCACACGGTCGGGAGCCTTTGGATAGAGCGTCGCGCCGCCGGTTCTGGCCCACCACGCTTCGGCGCGACATGCTATCCATTTTTGGGTCCCGAATCGTAAATGCCCCGAGCTTTTCCGAGCCTCCCGCCGGCGGAGCGGAGCGACACGCTATCTGTTCGCAGGGGGTGGCGTGTCGCCGTGGCCGCCGCCGCGACACGCTCTAACTGAGCGAATGTTCCCGACCGTTGGAGGGGGAGCGTGGCTGGAACCATGACATCTCCCCAGATTTATGGCCCCCACATTCCTTCTTTGGGTACGTTGCCTGATCCCCACTGGTTGGTGCCCTGCCTCGCCGCCTTGGGTCGAGCACGTGCATCGGGGGCGATGATTGCAAAGGCCTTACAGCCCGTGCCGCCGACCCTGAAAGGGAGCGACGACGACGACGACGACGACGACGACGACGACGACGACGGCGACGGCGACGGCGACGACGACGACGACGACGACAACGACGACGACACGACGACGACGACGACGACGACGACGACGACGACGACGACGACGACGACGACAGCGGCGACGCCGGCGACGACGAAAAGCATTCAAATATCCAAAGAGAACCTTCGATTCCCCCAGACTTGATGGCCCCCTGCTCCTTCTTTCGGGGCTCCAGGGACGGGGGCCGATGCAACCGGGGTCAGCCAGATCGCTGGATCTGGCGGGATCCTGCAGAGCCTCCGGCGCACAGCGAGGCGTCGGGCGGAGCCCGGGGCCGAGGGCGGGGGGCACCCACCGGGCCCGGGAGGGGAGAGGCGAGGGGAGGAGGAGGAGGAGGAGGAGGAGGAGGAGGAGGAGGAGGAGGAGGAGGAGGAGGAGGAGGAGGAGGAGGAAGGAGGAGAGGAGGCGGAGGAGAGGAGGAGGAGGAGGCGGAGGAGGAGGAGGAGGCGGAGGAGGAGGAGGAGGAGGCCAGATCCTGCAGAGCCAGGGTCGCACTGACCCGGGCATGGGTGCAGGACCTCGCAGCATCGATCCTCCAGGTTCCCCGGAGCCCGCCACGCCGCTGCTCCCGGGAGCGGGCAGGCCGCGGGAACCTCGGGGCCGACCCATGGGTTGGGGGCGGCCACGACGGGGGTGATGACGGAGGTCGGCGGCGAGCGAGGGGGGGGGCAGCGAGAAGGAGGAGGCCCTCTCAGAAGGGTTGGGGGTGGCCACGACGGGGGTGATGACCGAGGTCGGCGGCGAGCGAGGGGGGGGCTAAGGAGGAGGCCCTCTCCGAAGGCGGCGGGCCCTCTCAGAAGGCCTCGCGCCTTCTGAGAGGTTCCCGGTGTCGTCGGTGCAAGGCCTGACTGACCCGGGGGTGATGACCGAGGTCGGCGGCGGGCCAGGGGTGTGTGTGTGTGTGTGTGTGTGTGGTGTGTCTGTCTGTCTGTCTGTCTGTCTGTCTGTCTGTCTGTCTGTCTGTCTGTCTGTCTGTCGGTCTGTCTGTCGGTCTGTCTGTCTGTCTGTCTGTCTGTCTGTCTGTCTGTCTGTCTGTCTGTCTGTCTGTCTGTCTGTCTGTCTGTCTGTCTGTCTGTCTGTCTGTCTGTCTGTCTGTCTGGTCTGTCGTGTGTGTGTGTGTGTGTGTGTGTGTGTGTGTGTGTGTGTCTGTGTGTGTCTGTGTGTGTTTACGAAGGCAAACATCATATGCGCAAAATGCCTTTTTTTTGTTCTTTCCCAACGCCCCCTTTTCCGCGCCTCCGCGCAGGCCTCTAGAGTATGACCCCTGGGCGTTTTCAAGAGGAGGCCCTCTCAGAAGGCGGCGGGTCTCCACAGAGGGCCTCGCGCCTTCTGAGAGGTTTCCGGTGTCGTTGGTGCAAGGCCTGGTTTGCATCGACCTGGGGCAGTGTGTGTGTGTTTACGAAGGCAAACATCATATGCGCAAAATGCCTTTTTTTGTTTTTTCCCAACGCCCCCTTTTCCGCGCCTCCGCGCAGGCCTCTAGAGTATGACCCCTGGGCGTTTTCAAGAGGAGGCCCTCTCAGAAGGCGGCGGGCCTCCTCAGAGGGCATCGCGCCTTCTGAGAGGTTTCCGGTGTCGTCGGTGCAAGGCCTGGTTTGCATCGACCCGGGGCAGTACGTCCCCGATCCCGTCTTTCGGTTCGCCCCCCCGTTGAACCCTTGCCTCGCCGCCCTGCTGCAGCCGACCTTGAAGGAGAACAACGACGACGACGACGGCGACGACGGCGACGACGAAAAGCATTCAAGCATGTAAAGGAAATCATCGATTTTCCCCGGATTGCATGGCCCCCTGTTCCTGTTTTCGGTGCGACCCCCGGTTGGTCCCCTGTTCCTCGCAGCCCCGGGTCGCGCACGTGCGGTGCCTCGGACAGGGGGGTGGGACTGCGAAGCCCCCTTTGCTGGACGATCCCCTCTTGGACGCCCCCAGGAGGACAACGAGGACAAGAAGGAGGAGGAGGAGGAGGAGGAGGAGGAAAAGAGGAGAAGGACAAATCAGGAGGAGGGAGAAAAAGGAACAGGAGGAGTCAGGAACGAGGCATCAGGAGTCACGAATCGGCGGGGGCCCGAGGACCCAGGGAGGAGGAGGAGCAGGAGGAGGAGGAGGAGGAGGAGGAGGAGGACAAGCTAGGTGCGCTCGCGTCATATCTGACATCCTACCCCTCCCTCCCATCCCTTACCGTGGCGCAGATCCCCTCTCTACTCGCACAGTCCGCTGTCGAGCAGGGCAATGATCCCGAAAGGGTACGCGATGCATTGTAGAGCACGGCATGGCATGGCGTAGAAGAGCACCGCAAAGCGCAGTAGCAACCTAGCATTGCATTGCATGCCGTGGCATGGCACGGGAAATGACGCCAGCGCTGCAGCGGGAGCACGAGTCGAAACGAGCGGAAGCGCGGAAATGAGGCCAGCGCTGCAGCGGGAGCACGATTCGGAACGAGCGGAAGCACGGAAATGAGGCCAGCGCTGCAGCGGGAGCACGATTCGGAACGAGCGGGGCCCGAAAATGAGGCCGGCGCCTCAGCGAGAGCAGCATTTTGAAAAAAAGTGCAGGCGAAAACCCAACTCCGGGGAAACCTGTGTGTAAAAAACAGTACGGGGGGGGGTCGAGCACTTTCAAACCGTCATCAGGGGAAGAGGGAGAGTAGTATTCATATTGAGTAATTGTGGAGGAGGTGGAGGAGGAGTAGGAGGAGGAGGGGGAGGGGGAGGAGGAGGGGGAGGGGGAGGAGGAGGAGGAGGAGGAGGAGGAGGAGGAGGAGGAGGAGGAGGAGGAGGCGGAGGAAGAGGAGGAGGCAGAAATCAGGAGTCAGGACTCCAGAATCGGCCGGGGTCCGAGGGCCCGGGTCCAGGAAGAGCAGGGGGTGAGACGAGCATCGAGAGAGCGCCACGGCGGGCCCTGCGGAGTGCACAACGCGCCGCGGCTTCGGAGCGAGCCTCTGCCCCTGCCGGGGGAGAAGGAGGAGGCCTACACCTTGTTGATTTCTAAGTATTCGAGAGTTCTTCCATTTTTTTGGGGGGCGACATAGTTTCGTTTCTGATTGTTCTATCCTGGGCCTCTTCCTCCTGGCCACTAGGGGGCCTGGAACAGCTAGAAACGAGCAAAATTAGAAGTGAGCACGGTTAGAAATGAACGACGTGCACAGTATGTGGTTGAGTCGTTTTCCCTGATCTTGCGATGCTGTCCAGAAGAGCACAACAGCCCCTCCGCTGATGTTTGCCCAACGTCAAATAGGGAGGAGTAGGAGGAGGAGCAGGAGCAAGAGCAGGAGCAGCAGCAGGAGGAGCAGCAGCAGCAGGAGGAGACTCGAACTTCGAGGTTCGAGAAGTAGGTGGTTAGGTAGGTGCACGCGGAGCGTTGATGGTTTACGACGAGTACACGCACGCGCCCTCGCGGCACAGGGCGACCGGTGGTGGAACATCTTCGACTTCACGCTGGTAGCCACTGGCGTGGTCCGCGCCCGCCTGCGTCTATGAGAGGCTGGACTCACAGCTTTCCCAGTGACCTGTCTGGCCGAAGCTTCTTGCAGTTCGTTGTGCTTTTTGGGTGTCCGGGGGGCCTCTCGTCTCAGCAGCTGGATTCGCCTCTAAATTCTCTGGTTAGGACGTACACCGAAAAGGGCTCCAGGGATTGATTCTGGGCGGATCCTTCCCAGCCAGACATGCGGCGGTAGTAAAAAACTGAGACGGCGGGTTCAAAGCATGTTCTGCCAGCGGGGGCCGTTTCCAGGCTTCGGGACCGTCAAAAGTCAGCTAGGACGAACAGAGCGGCCATGGGAAGGGACCAGAAGGTCCCAGGCCCCAATGACTCCTCCTCCTCCTCCTCCTCCTCCTCCTCCTCCTCCTCCTCCTCCTCCTCCTCCTCCTCCTCCTCATAATCATCATCACCATCATCACCATTAGATCATTATCCATATCATCATCACCATCCTCATCACCATCATCTTCATCATCATTGTCATCATCCTCTTTAACTTGTTCCGTCGCGCCCATGTCTGTTATTGCTCATCCTCGTGCTACCTGCGCTCGCTGTCCCGAACCTTCCACACACGTCGTGCGCACGCGCACTCTGGACGATCCGAAATGGGTAGCAGGCCCCTCGGTCACACGCTGCACGGCGTATGCCGGTCAGGGCGTCACGGCAAATCAAACAAATTCGGCAAGGTCCTCCAGAAGGACATTGCAGATGTCTTGCCCGCGGGCCAGACGCTAAATGGCACCAACCATGAGGCCATAGACCCTGCGCAGTGCTGGCAACCCTGGAGCTGTCACCCCGACAGCCATCGCCTTGTTCTTCGGGGGCTCCCAGACGGTGTGGTGACCACACATCGTGGTGAGTCAGTGGGGATTCGACGTCACCACGCGGTTTTGGAACTTGAGTCGTTCTCCGAGGATGTTTCGAGCGACTCGGGCCCCCAGGGTCCCAAGACCGTGCGATGACGGACCGCGCGGTGATGCCGTTGGGGACTTTGAGGTCACCGCACGGTCCGTCACCACACGGTTGTGAAAACCCCGAACTCTAAAAACACATTCAAAACGCTTTGAGCGAGCACCTTTTGTACAACCTGGGTCAAGCAAACACGGTGCCTCATGGCGCCCACCTGCCCAGATGACATCAAGTGGCCTTGAACAGCGTTAAAAAACAAATGCTGTTTTGCAATCCTGGGCCTTTGTAGACCAGTCTCACACCCAAGGGTCATACGCCATGCTGAGACTGATTCCGGGGGCAACGATGGTCCCCGGGAAGGGTCAGGTCGAGAGGTCCAGGGAACAGTTTGTTGTATCTCTCTCTTTCTTCCTTTTTCCCTCTCACTCTTTTCGCTTCTCTCTCTTCTCTCTCTCTCTCTTCTCTCGCTTCGCTTTCTCTTTCTCTCTCTCTCTCTTCCTCTCTCTCTCTCTCTCTCTCGCTACCTCTCTCTGTCTCTCTTGTTTTTTTTTTTCTCTCTCTCTCTCTCTCTACTCATATACGCTTATGGTAAACATATGTACTTCATTCATGTATATAGAAACCATAACCAAAATCTGATTTCCCAAACAGTACTTGCACTTATGGGGCTTCTATTTGCTAAGGAGCCGGGCTTGCCCGTCGGTCTGGCGGCTACGTGGTCGCAGTCGCCGCCCCGTCGCCACCTCGTCGCCGCCCGTCTTCTTGGCCTACCTGTCGGTCTGGCGGCTATGTGGTCGCCGTCGCCACCCCGTGGCTCTGGTTCTGCCCGTCGGTCTGGCAGCTATGTGGTCGCCGTCGCCGTCCCGTCGCCGTCTGGGCTTGTTGTCTTTTGCATTGATTTGCGTCGCGTTGCGTTTCAATGCGTTCCATCGATTTGCATTGTTTTTTTTCTGCATTGCTTTCCATGGCGTTGCATCAATTTGCATTGGGTTGCCTTGCCTTGTTTTGGTTTGCTTTGCATTGCGCTGCTTTGCATTGCTTGACATTGCGTTGCGTTGCTTTGCACTACTTTGCGTTATGTTGCATTGCTTTGCGGCATTGCTGGCGGCGCATTGCAATCGCATTGCTTTATTGCGTTTCAATGCTATGTCGTGTTTTTGCATAGTTTTGCATTGATTTGCAATGTTGTGCATGTTTTACATTGCGTTGCACTGTATTGCAATGCTCTGCATTGCTAGACATTGTGTTGCACTTGTTTGCGCCACATAGACTGCGACACATGGATCGCGCTGCCAAGATTGCACCACATGGATTCTCCTTGCCCAAAGAAGATTAGGATCGACGCCCCCCCACGGCCGGAATTGACCGGATCCCTTTTGTATTGCAAGTTAAATGTGATTTTGCCACATCGTCCATCAGAAATATGTGTTCAGATCATCCCAGGCAGGCCGGTATTGCTCCCCCCCTCACCTTCTGCGCACACACGTATATTAAACAGCATCAGTTTCCAAGAACCCCTGGCAACAAATAGGACGAAGTGCACACGCGCGCGTCGTCGCACGCGCATGCTTGAATCGTTCCAAAATTTTGAGTTTCGCACGGATGTCAAAATCGAGTGTCACGTATATATATATATATGTTTTGAAAAGATGCAAGCAAAATCTGTCGCAAGACGAATTAGCAAAAAAGCTTGCGCTCGCGCTCTTGCGCACTCTTAAAGAAACCATGGTTTGTCAATGTTCTCACGAAGTACTACCGCACAGGCTTTTCGCGCGCGCATGTCGAAATCGCCCGAACGCCCCAGAACGCGTGCTGTCGCAAGAATTCCTTTGTCAGAAAAGGGACGAAGTGCACGCGCGCGCGCGTCGTCACACGTGCACGCTGAAACCCTTCAAACACTCAAGGTTTCGTCAGGATTTCAATATCGAGTGTCCCGAAACAACTTTTTTTACATAGAAAAAATGGCTTTGCAACGCCAGTTTTCACAACACCAAAGCAACTGCGCTCGCGCTTCTGTGAATTCTGAAGAAGAAGAAGAAGAAGGATGAGTTCTCAACATATTCATTCAATTCTGCCTAACGGGCCTCTCGCGCCGCACGTCGAAATCACGAACGCCCTTGCACACGTGTTTTGAGGGCACGAATGGTTCGATCCGTGCCAAAAATGCAATGCGGCCATTCTCGCGCGTCGGCTGCGCGCGCATCTCGAACTCATTCCAAAACCCCCCTCCACCACCGACGCGAGGACGCCGTCATCCTCGTCGGCGTGATTCGCATCGGCGCCGTCACTGGCCTTGCCGTCGTCGTTGTCACCATCGTCACCAGCATCGCTTTTATCATTCTCGGGTTTACCGTTGTCGACATTGCCATGATACCGCGCCCACCCAAGTCGCCGACTCGACATTGCATGATACCCGCAGCGTCATCGCCAATGAGGCCGCGTCGGTCGCGCCAAACTAGCTGGCCGCTGTGCGCGCGAGCATGCGCGGGCTAGCGCGGCCGCAGAGGTGCACCAGCCAACGCCAAGCGCTCATCATCGCAATCGCCGCCGCATGGGCTGATGCAGCCCAAGTTGCGGGTGGGTGGGTGGCATAATTGCGCGAGCAGTGGAGTTGCAAATCCATTGCGAACAAAAATGAATTGCACCACATAGTTTGCGCCACATACATTGCAAGAATCACTGGCCCACGGTGGCTAACAGGTACTCATTATATACATAATGTGTACAGATGTGTAAAGATGCATCGGTTGGAAATTCTGGTCGCTGGATATCTGGACAAGGCTGCGTGTGGCACCCGCATTTTTTGTCGGCATAGCGCCCGTGACACGTTGGCACCAGAGTTTTTGGCAAACTAGTCCACGGGTTACGCGCTCTTCACGCCATGCTTCATCATGACCGAGCTCAGGCTGCCAGCGGCGGAAGACAGCGGCGCGCCCGTCGCAAAGGATCACAGTCCATACTTTTGCAATGTTGCTGGCAATGTGCTCGCAAGTGATGTTCCAGAACGGCCACGCTTGGCCACCGAAAGTGGTAACAAATCCTTGTTCAATGCCTCGGTAAGTGGTAGCGGAGTGTGCGAAAACCCGGATGCGGTGGTCGCACATTGTCACAAGGCGTAAACCGAATTATCTGTTTGCAAGGCAATTGCCACATGTTGTTCATGTTATCATCAGTTGAGTCAGCAGCCGCGTGATGCGGAAAACCCTACGCAGTGCACGGCAACACTTCCAACGACGCCATCGTCCGGAGATGTTGCTGTGGCCCCCGCTCGAATAGTTGAGCGCAGCCAAGGCTCACCAGCTCCACGGCCAAGTCGAGCAGCGCTTATCGGCGTTCGAGCCGTTCCGCCCCGCTCCCGGGACTTCGCAGAGGGAGTTGTCCACTTGGGAGCGAGCTCAGTCGAATGCTCATTTTTTTTAGCAGCGCGACGGGGCCAGCGGCGCGACACGACAGACGAGCGACGGACGACAGACGCACGGGGCGGCGCGGGGGGGAGAGGGCGGGAGGGGGGGCGACGGGCGGGAGGAAGGGGCCCGAGACGCGACGGCGAGCGCTCCGAACTGCTGGGCAGCCTCTGGCGGCAGATCAGCTGAACCCTCCAAAGGGGTAATGCTGAGATGCTGCTGAGCGCACTCGGGCGTTCGGCGAGCAGCCCCCCGCCTCCGCTTGGTCCACCGCAACCGCCGCCAGCGCAGTGACCACCACAGGCGGCCGCGAGCGCAACCCCGAACCCAGACCACCACGCCCGCCCCAAGCACGACAACCATTGTCCCCACCACAACCACCGCGACGACGACTCTGAACACGACGACCCCCCGATCACCGACGCCACGACCACGACCAGCGCCGGCACGTTCATCACCTCGACCACCGCCGACCAGCACCACGACCACGACCACGGCCAGCACGACGGGGCCATGACCACCACCACTGCCATTACCACCGCCGACCCGACCGCCCCCGCCCCCGGCCGCCCATCTCCTTCGTCTCCCTGCCCCTGCTGGGCCGCCCTTGCTGCCGCACGCGCCTAGCGCTTCGCCTCCTCCATTTCCTCTTCTGCGTTTCCCCTCGCATAATTCCGTGAATTATTAGGACTTACGTTTAGAGGCGGATAGCCACAGGACCAGTTCTCTAAGAGGCTGTGTCTGGCAGGTGAAGTTTTTTTTGGCTAGGGACCTGGGACCATGAACCCAATGTCCAGGGGTCCCCGTTGGTGACGGGGGTGGGGACCCATTCGGGTGCCCCCGGGCCTTAGGGAGGGACAGGAGGGGGGAGGCAAGCTAAGTGCGCTAGCGTGACATCTGACGTCCTACCCCTCCCTCCCATTCCTGACCATGGCGTAGCTCTCCTATCTGTTCGCATACTTCGGATGTCGAACAGAGCAATGTCCCCAAGAGGGTACGCGATGAATGGAAAAGTATGGCGTAGAAGAGCACGGCAGAGCATAGCATGTCATAGCATGGCGTGGCATATCGTAGTGAAGCATTGCATCATAAAACATATCAACGCAAAGCATGGCATCGCACAGCGGTGCACAAGGGTACATGGCACCGGATGCCTTGGCATGCCATGCCAAGGCATGTCATAGCATGCCGTGGCATGGCACTGGATGATTGGGAGAGTAAGTGGCCCGTCTACGAGGGGACAGGATTTGTCCGGGATGCAGGGTCCATGTCCCCCGCAACAGTGCTTGCCCGATGTGGGCGCTTTCGAATGCTAGGTGCCGTCCGGAGGCGCGGGAAAGAGGCCAGCGTTGCAGCGGAAGCACGGTTTTCAATGACCGACGCGCGGAAATGAGGGCGACGCCGCAGCGGGAGCATTATGTTGGAAGGACCAGAAACGACGGGATTTGAAAAAAACACCGGATAAGCCAATAAAATCAGGTGCACAGAAAACATTGCGCGGCGAGAACGGGACATCCTCCGGACATAGTCAGGGGAGAGAGAAGAGTAGCATTCATATTGTGTAACTGTGTAGGACGGGAGGGAGAGGAGGGGGTAGGGGAGCGCGGGAGGGGGGAGCCCAGTCGGATGCTCGCATCTCCTCCCTCCAGGGCAGGGGCATTCTCGAGCGGTGTTGCTCCAGCCCCACCTCTGCCACGGCCCTTGCCCCACCGTTCTGTCCCGCCGACACGACGCTCCCGCACGCCACATGTACGGTGCGTCACGCTGCTTTCGCCTGCCAACCAATCATCACCAGGGTTGGGCATTGGAGCCACGGTTGCGCTTCTGCAGGCCGTGCTCCGCACCGCCTGCCAGCCCGTCGGTCGGGCGCTCCTGCCAGAAGGCCTCCCCGCTGGCCTGCTGTCGCCGAACGCCCTTCGCGCGCGCGCCGACCGTGGCGCGGTGGCTGGGCGTCTCCTGCCTCCTCGGGGCTCATGTCGATTCCTCCGATTCGATTCGATAGCGATGGCTTCCGATTCCGTTTCGATTAGATTTCGCATTTCAATTTGGTCCCCGATTTCTCAATGGAGGCCTACCAGCCTGCCGATTTACGCCGATCCGACGCATTTCGATCGCCGATCCGACTTACCCATTCGATTCTGGGCGTTCCGAACTTCGCTTTCCATGCCTCGTAAACCAGCGATGCAGATTTGTTTATGGTGTTGTCTGCTCCCTGGCACGTCCTACAGGTCTACACGATCTCAGGGTTCTGCGGCCCTCCCGCGGTTTTCCTTCTCCTCCCCCCTCGCCCGCTTGCGCCCTTGCGCTTTGATTTGCAACGGACGAGTCCCGCCGGTTGCTTGACGGATTGTTGGACCCAATTGGCCGTCGACCAACAAGTTGTGTTTTGCCTTCTCGCACGCGCTGAAGTTGGGAACTGCAATGGCTTCGCCTGGTGCTTGTCCAGCCTCCAGCACTGCGGCGGGGAGAGGCACCGTCAGCTCGCAGTGTTCAGCCTTCTCGCACGCGCTGAGCTCAGGCTTCTCCCGTTCGCTGGACACTGCGCCGTGGCTGATCGTGTTCGGAGTCGGCTGCGCCTCTAGCGTTCTCGTTGCGAAGCAGCACCACCTTCTGCCACTCCTCTGCCCTCCTGCATCTCGTGACCATGCCCCGCAGCTTCGTCCCCCGCGCTAGGAGGAGGAGGAGAGGGAGGAGGAGGAGGAGGAGGAGGAGGAGGAGGAGGAGGAGGAGGTTGAGCGAGAAGGAGGAGGACGAGGAAGAGGAGGTGGAGGACAATTTTTTGGGGACACTTTTGGCCCGAACAGTTCATCGCTGTGCCTGAGGCCTGTTGCGCTTCCTTCTCGGCGATCCGCGCTCCGAGCGTTGCCAGCCTGTCCAGCGGCACAGCGTTCGCAAGCGTTTGCTCTGGTCTCGAGGCGGTGGCACGTGCTCGCACCTCAAGACGCGCAGGCCGTGCTTCCAACTCCGCACAAGCGTCGTGTTGGCATCCCGCTTCGGATGGAGACCACATCTCGGCCTCCGCAGAGGTGTGGTCCCACTTCCTGAGAGACGCACCGCCGCGCAGCTCGACGAACTGAAGCAGCATACCTTGTGCATGCGAGCCAAGCACCATACAGTCGGCCCGGATCAGTAGGTCGGCCCTGCCGGATCAAGGGTTTTTTTGTGTCCTGTGTCTCGCGACCCGTGCCTCCTGCATTCCTGTGGCGAGTTGGCCTTCGGAAGGGTCTTGTGTCCTCTCGCGTGTCCTGTCCAGTCATGCCCGACTGTACCGGAAAAACAGCCTGGGCTCGTCGCCCACTGGCGTGCTCTGGGCGAGCGTTCGAGGTTCAAGATGGTCTGCTTCTGGGATGGACACTCGGGATGGACACTCGGGGAGGGACACTGGGAATGGACACCGGGGATGAACACGGGGGATGGACACCTGGGATGGACACTGTCGATGGACACTGGGGATGGTCACGCGCAACTGCGGGGGACTAGGTGCACCGATCCTGGGACCAGGATCGGCGCAGGTGAAGGCGAGCGTGGGTTCACGCCGCCGTGGCATGGCACGAAGGTCTCCCGCCACACGCGGGAAGCCAGCACACCCGGCCTCGGGTCGACCGTCGGGCGCACCGGCACAGCATGTCAGGCAGTTCGTACAGATCTGGCGTCCCGGCCAGGGTGTCCCCATGTGTGCCATCATTAGGGAGGACGAGACGAGGAGGCAGAGGAGGAGGAGGAGGAGGAGGAGGAGGAGGAGGAGGAGGAGGAGGAGGAGAGGGAAGATGGAAGGGGGAAGAGGGAAGAGGAGGAGGAGGGAGGAGGGAGGAGGGAGGGAGGGAGGGGGGGGGAGGGAAGAAAGAGGGGGGAGGAGGGGGAAGGGGAGGAGGGGGGATGAGGGGGAAGGGGAAAGGATGAAGGGAGGAGGGGAATGAGGACTGTCGGGGGTGAAGGCGGGAGAAGGGAGCACGAGGAGGAGGGAGAAAGAGGAAGAGGAGGAGGGGCAATCACGAGAAGGAGGAGAAAGGAGGAGAAACGAGGAGTAGGAGGAAAGGTGAAAAAGAAGGGAGTGAGGATGACGAGAGTGGGGAAAAGGATGAGGAAGAGGATGTGGTTTGAGGAGGAGGGCGAAAGAGAGAGATAAAGATAGAGAGAGAGCGAACTCGATATACCTCTGTATCTGTACATAAAGAGAGGAAGAGCGAGAGAGAGAGAGAGAAGAAAAACAGATGGTTGTCAGGTCGACGAGTGGTTGTCCTCGGTGTTCCTCTCCGAGGAGGAAGAGAGGACGCGAGTCTCGTGAACTGGCAGCCTCCCTCTCCCCCTCATCCCCTCCCTCCTCTCTCGTGGTCCTCCTCCTCCGTCATCCTCCTCTCCTCCTCGATCAGTCGGTCGTTCGAGCGGTCAGAGCCGAAGCTGACGCAATGTATAGAACAAAGACGAAGGTTCACCAAAGGGAGAAGATTGCAGCCGCGGCATCAGCAAAACCACAGGCGGAACACGGGTGCCCCCAACGCCGACAGTTCAAGACCCGTCCTGGCAGCTGTCGGGCTTGGGGGCACTATCGCTGAAAGCGCGTGGACACTTGAAGCAGAAAAGGCGATACAAGGCGATTGGAAAAGAAGAGGCCCATCCCCCACGCACAACAATAGAAGTGTTGCTTCAGGCGCAGTTCGCGACATATAGCCTACTAGCGCACAGCATAGGTACTGCAAAGGAGGTGGCGCACCGGACGGAGCAATGGGGTTCAGCATCATTTCCCGACAGTGGTATTCATTAAGATCAGGCACGTTGTAGCTTGACCAGACCTAGCCAACCGTTCTGCAATTCAACACTTACAGCATGTACAGGGAGACTTTTCGTAAGATGTAGACCATGGTGGCTGAGGCAGTTTGTTGGTGGCCCGACTTCCCTGCCTGTGTTGCACACAGCTGCAATTCCACGTGTCCACTAAGGATCCCACGTGGCCACGAATTTGCGAAGGGCTAGCGGAAACATCGTTCTTCCGTCACGCTGGTCTCATTCAGTGTGCAAGCCACCTAAGGCATTTTTCATGGCAGGCGGGCCGTCAGAGTCGTGGCTTGTCAAAGACAACGGACAAAACTTGGAGCATGCCAGCGGCGCGGATGCAAACTTGCGTCTGGGTCTGATCTTTTGTGCTACAACCATCCTCCCGAACATCCCCAAGACCGCGATGAGGCTGAGAGTGAGTACAGCGACCACCACCACCCCTGTTTGGCTGCTAGTGCGGTGGCCATTGCATCAAGACGCACCGCTAGCAACGTCGTGGGCCTCAACGCGCTGGCCCCAGACATGCACTGATGAATATCATGAGCCCTCACGACCAGGAGCCTCAGGGGCCCCTGGACCTTCAGGAGGTGCCACGAGCTGGATGCACCTGGAACCTAGGGATTCCCGTGCTGCCTACCGAAACCGCGACGTGGCGCGCAATAGTATTCCACCCAGCCTTTCCTGTGAGTTGCCGTTGGAGGGGGGTCCGTGGATCGGCGTCGCCGCCACGGCCAGCGGGTGTCCAAGTCTTGCAACCATCGTTGCTGCAGCACTCCTTAGGTATGGATCTAGGAGAAGTCTCGAGCGAGAGCCTTGCTTGTGCGCGTGTGTGTGTGTGGGTGTGTGTGTGAATCCGAAAGCGTTCAGTCTTGGTCATGGTCCCCGTGTTCTTCCCCTCCAGGGCCCCTCTGCCGCAGGCGGTTGTGGCGTGGGGTCCAGAGTAGCTCCGCGGATCGGCGTCGCCGCCACGGCCAGCGGGTGTCCAAACCCTGTAACCCTCGCAATTATTGCGCTCCCGAGGCATGGATCTGGGAGAGGTCTCGAGCGAGAACCTCGCTCGTGTGTGAATCCGAAAAAGCGCTCAGCCTTGGTCATGGTCCCCGTGCTCTTCCCCTCCAGCCGGCGTCACCCCAACGTTATTATACTATATGTGCGAGACGCCCCCCCCCCCCCAGGGACGACGCGCGCACCGAAACATCTTCCAGTACCTGCGTCGTGGCTGGCGCTTTCTGGCCACAAGGACGCGCGCCTCCAAGGAGGACATACGGCACAGCGCCGTTTTTCATACATGCTCCGCGTGCGGACCATGTATTAATCATGCAGGGATTGAGTATGAAAGACAACGACGAGTTCATGCATGAATTCATTCATAAATGCATCATGTATTGGGAATCGAATGTTTTTTGTTGAAAAAATGTATTAAGCATTGCCCTGTATTAGTGTGCCCCGTGCTCTTCCCCTCCCAGGGGCCCCCCCTTCGGCCGCAGGACCGTGTCGTTCATCAAGCTCTTCCGGATCCTCCGCGTGTTCCGGGCCCTGCGGGTCGTGCGGCGGGGGCGCGGGGGCGGGGCGCGGCTCTCCCCCCTCGCCCGGCGTGCGCGTCGGAAGCGGATCCCAAAGTCGGCTAGACGTAAGAGAGACGCAAGCAGTGGCGAAGCGTCCTGGCCCGCCCATAGCCCCACCAAAGAATGCTCCAAGGACCTCTCGTGGTGTCCACGGAGTGTTCTGAGAACAGTTCTGGCGAAGTCTGTCTTGTTTTTTGTCACATCGGGTTAGTGTTCTAAGAACATTGGTTTTGATCTTTGAACAAGTTTGGGTTCTAAGAATCTTTCGTGGTATGACTATAGGAATGCCGGGACGGTCAGTCCCTGCTCAAGTGACCTTTCGCCGGAGTGACCTTTGGTGCGGGCCCAAACGGGTTCCCCAATCGCCGAGGGCGCTGCGACATCCGCGGCTTGCGCGCTCGGTGTTGGCCGCCCCGCGCCCCCCGAATGCGGCGCACCAGGGGCCACTCTTACCCAGGGTCACTCTTGCGTATAGCCGACAAAGGGGGGGTCCAGCGACAAGGGGGTGGTGCAACAGATTTGGTGCAATGGATCTGTGCGGTTGCAGTACACCTGGGGCGCGCACTACATTCCGGGGCGCAGGTGTATTGCTGGACTTTCGCGTGCAATACACTCCTTGCAGCACAGTGCGATACAATTCTCCGGCGCAGTGCATTTGCAATACGGCTGCCCCAGATCCAGTGCGCCACCCCCTTGCAGCTGGACCCCGTTTTGGGTCACCCAAGAGTGGAAAGAGGGGGCTTCCGGGGAGGCGGGGCTCCCAGAGGCCGAAACCAGTGCAAAATTCCCGTCGTGGTTTGTCGGGGACTCGAGAGTTGCCCTCTCTTGGCCTTTTGACGTGAGGCCCCTCCTTCTGCCTTCCTCCCTCTGTCAACTTAAGCTGCGCGCGGCCCGCTTAGCTCCGACCGGAAGAGGCTCGCTCTCGACCCGCGGATCAAAAAAAAAATGTTGGGGACTCGAGGGGGTCGGGGGAGGAGCCTCGGAGAGCTTCTCGGGAGGCCGGGGGCCTTTTTGGCCGCAGGCCCGCCCCCTCTGCCGCCCCCCCCCCCTGGGAGCGCCGCCTGCCTTCGCCCACAGCTGCCTCCGCAGGGCGCCTGCATGCGACGACGCCTGCGGCAAATGTTCGAGACTCGTTGTGTCAGCACGTGTGACCCACCGCAGGGCTCGTTTCGACTCGTCCGACTCGGCTCGATGTCGATGGCTCCCGATTCCGATTCGATTCCACTTCGGATTCCGATGTGGACTCCGATTTCTTAACGGAGGCCTAGTATCCTGCCGGCTTCTGCCGATTCGATTTCTGCCGATTCGGTTGCCGATTTCCGCCGATCCGATCCACTTCGATCGCCGATCCGACTTATCGATTGAATTTTGGGTTCTCCTTGGGAGGAAGAGGAGGAGGAGGAGGCAGATTGGAAGGTCAGATCAATAAGAAGATGAATCATAATAATCATAATGTTATTGAAATAATGTTTTTGAAGCAATAGTAATGTTCATAATATTAATAATACGAACAATACGATGAATAAGAAGAAGACTAAGGAAAAGACTAAGAACAATAAGAAAAATAAGGATGAGAGAGGGGAAGGATAAGCAAGGTGCGCTTGAGTCATGTCTTACATCATACCGCTTCCATCCACGCTTCCGTTTCTTCGGAAGTGGAGAAAGTGAGGGTTCCAGGGAGAATGCGGAGGAGGAGGAGGAGGGTCTAGGCCTCCGAGATGGGGTCGGAGTAGATGAGGTCGGAGGATCAGGCCGCATCGCTGATGCGTTGGCGATGCATCGGCGATGCGGCTCGATGTGGGGCCTGATTTTCTCCACGCCAACGTCGCCGATGCATCGCAGACGTCGCCAGTGCATCGCCGAAGTAGCGCCGATGCATCGGCGATGCATCGCCGAGGTATCGGCGATGCGGCGAGATCCCCTGACCCCATCTACCCGGACCCCATCCAGGAGGCGTGTGAAGGGGGAGGAGCAGGGTACGAAGAGAATATGTCGCAGGGCGCCTCGGGCACCAGGCCAAACACCGTCTCGGGCGCGGTGGGCTTGCCGTGGGGTTTGCCGCGGTGCCAGCTTCGTCTGCTGGGGCGCGGGACGCAGGGTTTGCCGTGGGTTTGCCGCGGTGTCGGCGTCGTCCACGTGGGCTCGTCGAGAACAAGAAGCGCTACGACACACGGATAAGAAAAAATAAAAAATGATAAGATGAGAGAGGGGAAGGACAAAGGAGGTGCGCTTGAGTCATATCTTGCATCATCCCGCGTCCATCTATCCTTTCCAACGTCTATCCGCCGCCTGGGCGTCCTAGATGACACTCATCCCCGTAATGACCTCATCGTGCGTTGTCGAATCAGAAAGGGGGAGTTGTACACCAGACGAGAATGAGCAGGAGGAAGAGCAGGACGATGAGGAAGGAGAAGAAGCAGCAGCAGAAAGAGTAAGGGTAGGAAGAGCAGGAGGACCAGGGGAAGGTGGAGCAGTGAAAATGAGGGGGACGACTACGACGAGTGACGAATCGGATCCATAAATATGCCCCGTGTCAGGGCGAGAGGGCAAATCTGAGCGACGGGACCACAGCGCGAATTATGAGATACGGCTAAGCTGCAGCGGGAGCATACATTTCGAAGGACACAACATCGGAAGCCAACTCGGGACAATCCTGTTTGGCAGAAGCGAGTATACGAGATAGGCGGAGCAAGTAAAGACAGTATCAGGGGAGAGAGGAGAGTACGGCCAGAACATTTGGTTTAGCGTGTCGCTCTGCCGGTTGCCCACCACGCATCAGCGCCACATGTTATCCACGTCCTCATGTTTAAGCGTCAACGTCCCGAGCCTTTCCAGCATCCCGCCCCGCGGAGCGGAGCGACACGCTACCTGCCAGCAGGGCACAACGTGTCGCTGGGGCCGCCGCCGCGATACGCCGGGCAAAAGCCTCCGACTGCAGCACTCGGGGGAGGAGGTGGGGCTGGCTTGAAGGGTACGGCTCCAGTGGGCCCCAAACCCCCCTCTCGTCCCTCTGCTAGGGGGCCACATGCGAACCCTACCCCCACCCCCCACGATTTCTGAGGGGGAGGGTGGGGTTCACTTCGTTCGGGAGCTCCCGAGCGAAGTCCCCACCCTTCCCCTCAGAAATCGTGGGGGTGGGGGTAGGGTTCGCTTGCGGTCCCCTATCTGCGTCGCCGCCCTCCGTCCTCTGCAGCACTGCGCACGCAAGATGTCGCTCCGCCGCGCGCACGGCACAGCTGCTGCCTGCCGCTGCGCGGCCTTTGACCCGTGCCGCGGGCCGCGCTCTCCCTTCCGCGCGCACGTGCGCGCGGCCCCTCCCGTTGCGGCATGGCACCGCGGGCAGAGCTCGGCAGCGCAGACGCAGCGCAGGAGGAGAGGGGAAGGGAGGAGAGCGCTGCTACAGTGGCTGTTTTTAATACATGCTCCGCGTGCGGATCGTGTATTAAAGATGCAGGGATTGAGTACTAAAAAAAACGATGAGTTCATGCATAAATTCATTCATGAATTAATCATGTATTAAAAATCCTATACTTTTAAAAATCCCATGTATTAAAAACTGCCCTGTACTCTCTGGGCCATAACGCGAGCTATGCCCATCCCCCATGACGCAACGCCTCTTCCCACCCCCCAAGGGCATCCCTGGCACTGCCCCAGTGCGTCCGGCACCACAGTCCGTGGTACCAGACCCACACGGCGGGGGGGAGTGCGGGCGTTACGTCATGCCCCCACCCCAGCCGCCCCCCCTCTTTTCCCTCCATGACGCCCGTTGTCGCCGCGGCTGAAAAAGTGTGCTCGAGGAGACGGAAGGGAGGAGCTCAGAACAGGGGACTGCCAGTGATCTCTGGCTTGGTCGCGTGCCAACCCGAGGGGAGGTGTCCCGCTGCGGCCAGCTCTTCGCGCCCAGTCGCGCACAGCAGTGCCATCATCAAGCACAGAGTTCGTCGCGCCAGGCCTCCCGAGGAGCAGGTTACGGCAGCCAGTCTGGCATAGCCTCGTGTCCGGGGCCTGCTCCGCCGCTGGCTCCTCGAAGTGGGGCGGCGCAGTCAGGCAGTACCCTCCTTTCCGCTCCCCTCCTTGCTCCCGCGCGCGCGCGTGCTGGCAGGAGGGAGGGCCAGAGCCACTGTTACCCAGGCCCGGAAGCCGTGGTCGCCGAGAGCTCACTCAGAGCGCCGGGAAAGCACGAGCCAAAAACCATTCAGGGGCTTGCGATCGTCAGTTGGAGCATCGGGCGGCGGAGCGGAGGAGAGCTTGGTCTACTCTGTAAGAACGGTTTTTTGAAGGCAGATCTGCCTTCAAAAAACCGTTCTTTTTGAAGGCAGATCTGCCTTCAAAAAACCGTTCTTACAGAGTAGACCAGTCTTTCCTCCTTGCAGGCAGATCTGCCTTCAAAAAACCGTTCTTACAGAGTAGACCAGTCTTTCCTCCTTGCAGGGAGAGCTCGCCAGGAGGCGGAGGGAGGCCGCGGGAGGGGAGGCACATGCCGCGGCTGAAGATGCTCATCGAGAGCTTCATCAGCTCTCTGCAGGCCCGCCCTCTTCGCGCTCCGCTGCAGTGAGGTGGGCGCTGGCGGAGGCGTTCGAAACTCCCTGCCGCCATGTCATCATCATCCTGCGCCTCTGTCTCCTCCCAACCCCTTCCTCGCCCGATCCCCCCTGTTGCTCCTCCTCCTCCTCCTCCTCCTCCTCCTCCTCCTCCTCCACCGTCACCCTCCTGATCCATCCTGGTCCCTCCTCTGCATCCCCCTCGTCCTCATAATTATCCTGTCATTGCTTTTCTTCCGCCTCCTCTCCCTCTCCTCACCCCTCACATCATTATCCTGGTTCGGCATTTCACTTCCTCCTCATCATCAGACTCATCACCACCACCACCGTCATCGTCACCATCATCATCACCATCACCATCATCATCACCATCATCACCATCATAATAATCATCATCATCATCATCATCATCATCATCATCATCATCATCATCATCAGCATCATCATATTCATCATCATCATTATCATCATCACCATCATCATCACAATCATAATCAGCGTCATCAGCAGCATCAACACCTTTAGCATCAGCAGCAGCAGCATCATTATCATGATTTCCAGCATCATCATCAGCAGCAACACCATCATCATCATCATCATCATCATCAGCATCATCAGTTTGATCAGTTTCATTATCATCATCACGGACAACAACAGCATCATCCGCATCAGCAACATGATCAACACACCACCATCAGCATCATCATCACCAGCACGATCATCATCAGCATCAAGATCATCATCATCATCATCATCATCATCATCATCATCATCATCATCATCATCATTACTGAAATCATCATCGCCATCGGCAAACCAGCATCATCGCAATCATCAACATCCGCCTCATCACCATCCTCCTCATCATCACCATCAACATCATAATCAGTATCATCATCATCAGCAGCACCACCATCACCACCACCATCATCATGGTCATCAGCACCATCATCACCATCATCATCGTCACCATCGTCACAATCATCAAAAGTAAAATAGCTCTCAACTATCCCCCTCGACCTCCCTTTTCATCCTCCCTCTCCCTCACACTATCCTCCTGCTCCCTCATCATCATCCTCTCCCCCCCCGCCCCCATCCATCCCCCCTCATCTTGACAACATCCTCTCTCCGCCTCCTCCGCCTCCAGGCGCGCGTTGAGGTACACATGATACGGGTCACGTGTCGGTGATTATCACGTTGATCTGGAGTCACGCTCAGGGTCGTTGTCTATACACATGTATGTTCTCTCATCTAGGACATCGTTCTCGTTCTCACAGGTATTATCGTCAGAAGTTTCGCGGCCCCTCTGTGGCTGGAGGCCTCGGGGATATTCCAGGGGCTCCTCGAGATGTCCCAGGGGCTGTTGGAGTGGATCTTGTATGCACATCGGGATCGCATTCATGGGCTGAGCAAATCCTTCCTCCCGCTGCGTCTCGAGAGAGTGGTAGCGAGTTGTCGCCGGCGGGTGCTGTAAGGCGGGTGGTAAGTGTCATGGTTTCTCCGACCCTTTTTGTTACAGCACGTGTGGCGTGACCTTTAAGCCCACACATTGGTATTGCGGATGTGATGTTGGCGCGAACCGTCGCTACCAGCTGCATCAGACAAAGGCATACGTACCTGCACATGACTTCTGCAATGGGGTGCCCTGTTTTGCCTGCGTGGCCGAGCGGTGCCGATCACCGCCGACGACGCCGTGGCCGCCATGATGGGCCCTCCTCAAGAACTCGATGCCTTTGATTGGGTCAGCCCGCTCGTGGCGAGCCTACGCGACCACTGCCTGTCGCATGGTTTGCAGAGCCAGGCGCAGCCGAAGGGTCCAGCTCTGTCCACGGCCGCGCGCGGGAGGGGCGGGCACTGCGGTGCCCCGGACCGTGCGAGGGGACGAAACGGAGGGGGCACTCGAAGGAAGCACACCAGTCGAGTAGAGGATCGGCTACAGAATTGATTTAGCGATTGCGAGTATATCAGCTGTTGGCAGGCTGGGGTGCGGGGATTGTTCCTACCAGTTGCTGCGTGTTGTGCCGTACTGTGGCTCCTTGTTTGCGGTGGTGTGATGCCCGTTTATATGAATGGCCATCCGGTCATATGGGGATGCGCTTACAACTCTTCTGGCCGAGACTGTCTTGATTTAACACATCGGGCTAATGTTCTAAGAACATTGTTCTTGTTCTAAGAACTTTTCTGGGTTCTAAGAACATTGCGCAGTAGGACTATAGAATGCCGGGACGGTCGGTCCCTGCTCAAAAGAAAGAATTTCGGGCGCCAAAAATGTACCGAAATTGATGGGTTTTCACGTGTCGGGCCCCGGGAGGCGATACTCGCTCGACATTGTTTCGGTACTCTCCTGGGTGCTCGAAATTATTTCTGGGATGGGGTCCTTAAGTACGATGGGGGCAACATAACCATCGTCCTTGAACTGCTGCACTTCAAGGGCCCCAAATGGCCCGGACGAACTAAAGAAGGGCACGAATGCAGCCCAGAAGGGCCACAAGGGGCATCTCGGGGGAGGGGGGGACCCTGGGACACGGCAAGGTTTGAGAGGCCCCAATCGGATCCCGACAGTGTTCCAAAAGACCAAGACGTCCCAGGAGGGCCCAGGGATGCTCCAGAGGCGGCCCAAGAGGGCCCCAGGAAATGCCAAGCAAGGCTCCAAGAAGCTCCCTAAACTGCGGTACGCGAAAGGGTGTAACTATCTTACTTGCATGTGGTTTTCAGCTCCGAGAGGATGCTGTTGGGATGCTCTCAGGCGATTGCCGAGCGGCTCACAAGTTTCAAATCGAACATCCTGAAGAGCGGAGAACGGCCCAGAAAGGCCCCAAGCACACACGCATGCACACGCCCGTGAAAGCAGTAGTTGCCGATCGCGCTCATTGATCCCACCATGGGGAAGATCTTGCATTACACTGTGTGTTGCATGCTTGTGGCCCATTGTTCGTGGTTTATCGGCATTGGTTCCCTGTGCTGATCGATCGTTGCACGCGTCATGGTCGATGTGAGGTTGGGGGGGGCACTACAAGATTCACCTCTTGCAGACCTGTCGGACGGTTGGCTGGAAACGCCTGCTCACTACATATGCCAGGTACGGTGGAAATTGAACGAGCATTTGGCGAGACGAGACCAAGCGGACTTCTCTTGGGGGGGCCAGGCGAGGAACGAACCACAGTCAGTGGTTTTGAGTTGCGACTTGCGTGATACATCGACGGCGCATTCCCGAAACGAACATTCTAAGTCGAAGATTGATGTTGGTACGCTGCTGCTGCACATGCCGATGGTAAGTAAGTACCAGCTTCCCATTAGGCCTTCTCCCTGGATGTGCCAGTTGCCAGTTAGGCACTCTGGCTTCGCCCGAAGGCGATCTGCGATCTGGCATTTGTGGGGTCGAGGTGCCCTGCGTTGCCTCGCGTTGCACCACGATGCTTCGAGGAGGCGTTGTGCAGTGTTCAATGGCATTGCCCGTGTGACCCTCCATCTGCCCCAGATCCCACCCGTTTCTCCAGATCTCCCAAGCACGCCCGCGCGCCATTGCTCGCGCCATGTCTCTCGTCTTCGCTCGTCTCTGTCCATGGCATCGTCTTAATTTCCTTCCCTACTTCGTCACCGTCCCTCCCTCAGCACCCAGCACCACTGTTCCATGTCGACTGCTCATTATCTTGCAGTCTGGATGCTTCCGTCAGACTCAATCACAGGCATCTGTATGGATATTCTTATTCTTCTACTTCCTGGAGGGGAGGGGAAGGGAGCTCAAATTGAGGCTTGCGGTTCGTGAGGTCGCCGGTGACCGCATGTCACGGTTAACAGTGCAGCAGTTGCTCAGGGAATGAACGCAAATGAGACGCGCACACACGTGCGTTATCTAAAAGGTTATTAAAGATTTGGCGAGAGAGAGAAAGATAGAAATATAGAGAGAGAGAGAGCAATGGATTGACAGAGATTAACAACGGGGGGGGAATATGGATCCAGGAGAAGGTACAAGCGGAAACGAGTAACGAGGAGATGCCATGGGAGGGAGCGAGGCAGAGAGGTCGGGAGGGAGAGGAGCAGGAGCAGACGAAGAGAGGGGGAGTGGAGGGCAGGGAGAGGGAGAAGAGGAAGAGGGAGAGATGGGAGAGAGAGAGAGAGAGAGATGGAGAGAACGGAAGGAAGAAGAGAGAGAGAGGGAGAGAAAGAGAGAGAGAGAGAGAGAGAGAGAGTTGCCCGTCAGTGTGACTGGACGTTTCGCACGCTGGCCTTGGAATTGTTTTCCCAGGTAGGTCCGCCACCACGCCATCCGCGACCGTTTAGCTCGCAAGCCGATTTCATGGAGGCCAGGTCGCATGGAGGCCAAGTCGCATGGAGTTCAGTGGTCGCGCTCCCTCCTCCTTTCCACAAGGAGGAGGAGGAGGAGGAGGAGGAGGAGGAAGAAGAGAGAGAGAGAGAGAGAGAGAGCGAGACAGAGCGCGTCACACAGCAGCCCTGAATGAGACACGGGGGCAGGGGTACGACGAGCCGGAGAGCGTGACGTGGCGAGAGAAGGAAGGAGAGCGGCAGAAGACAGGCATTGAGACGTGCAGGCAAAGGTTATCCTCCCACTCCCTCTACTTCTCCTCGTCTTCTTCCTTCTCCCCCCCTTTCCTCCTCCTCTTCCTCCTCCTCCTCATGATCCCCCCCTTCCGGTTTGCAGCTTGCCTCTCATGAGATGGGTACGGCCTCAGAGGCCTTCAAGACGGCCTAACCGCCTCCCATGGCAGCGGCCCAAGAGTGCCCAAGACGTTTCGCCCAAGAGCGCCCCACGAGGACCCCCAAGAGGGTGCCCAGAGGCAAAAATAAGGGATGCTAATATGAGTCGCTGTTTTTAGCATTCTCACGTCTTCGGCCCCAGACCGCCCCAGACCGCCCCAGAGGCTCCCAAGACGGCCCCACAGGACATCGAGCCTGCCAGTAACATGGCCAAGACGGACCCAATATGGGGAACTCCAACTGACTCGTGCCCCCTCCATCTTCTGAGGCCCCCTGAGGCCTCGGGACGTGGGACGTCAGCTGACCGCCTCCATCTCATCCAGCTCCTCCTCCCCCTCCTTCATCTCCTCCATCTCCTGCTCCTTCTCCTCCACATCCTCCACCTCCCCTGAGATCCGAACACGCGAAAAAATACGACATCGTGAAAAATCGCGACAGGAGCCCCAGACCCCATCTCTCTGCGCAATTTCTCCAGCCGCCTCGATTCGTGAGGGCTCTGGGGCCCGAAACAGGGCGAAACCGCCCCGGTCAACCATGATGCGACACCAGGACCTCCTCCTCCTCCTCCTCCTCCTCCTCCTCCTCCTCCTCCTCCTCCTCCTCCTCCTCTCCGTAGCCATTTTGGCTCAAGATGCCTAGTTCCACAGTGGAACAAGTGGATACCGCTAGTCCGCGGCCAGTGCCAGGGCTCTTGAGCCCGACAGCCCCTTCTCGATCCCAAGTGCAGACTGCAGCACCATGGCTGGCGCCGGCCGAAAGGAACGCCAGGACTGGGCTTGCAGGAGCTGTACGACGAAGCGCGGCAAGCCGCTCATCAACTTCGGGACCTCGCTCAAGTGCCAAGGGTGCAGGCTCCACAAGAAGGACGTGTACGGCGGGCCTGTGCCGCCGAAGGAGCCCTCGATGCGGGCCCCAGCCAAGGGCAAGAAGCGGGCCCCGTGGACGGCCGAGGGCAAGCTCGAGGGCGAGCTCGCGGCCATGCGGGCGGAGCTCGACGCTGCCAGGAAGAAGCTTCGTACGCAGGAGTCCGACCAGGGCGGGGCCGCGGCCATGCACGTGGACGACGGCAAGTCAGGCGAGGACGCCTCGGCTGCGAGCGAGATCAAGGTGTGCGAGGCAGGCCTGGCCACGCTCAAGGACGTGCAGCACGACTGGGCCACGGGCCCGCGGGAGGATCTCAAGCGCAGGCTCGCCGCCGCCAAGGACAGGCTCTTCGCCGCCAAGCCGCTCCACGCGCGGGTGCAGGCGCTGGCCCACAGGCAGAAGAATCTGGCGGACAAACTCAGCAAGATGGAGCTGGCCGAGCGCGAGGCGGAGGACCGTGTCAAGAAGGCGCAAGACGAGCTGGAGCTCAAGCGGCATGGTGTCAGAGAGCTCAAGGCGCAGCAGGTGGCCCTCCAGGCGGAGCAGTCGGCACTCCAGCAGCAGGTCCCAGTCGCGCCAGAGGATCGTCCGCCTGGGCAGTCCATGGAGCACGACGTCATCAAGGACACGGGCGGCCTCACCCTCGGCGACCTGGCGCAGGCTCTCAGCGGTGCTCTGGCCGCTCACCCCGACGACACCATGCAGACCGCGGGCGATTTGCCGCAGCGGCTGGCCTCGGCGCTCGGCGGGCCCCTACAGGAGCTCATGCTGCGGCGGCAGCGCGAGCGGGCCGCCGCCACGGTGGCAGCGAGCGCCCCTCGCACCCCTGCAGCGTCCGTCGAGGGAGACGACGCCGCCGCCGCCGCGCATGGCGCAGGCACTGCAGGCGGCGCCGCCCCTGCAGCCGCAGCGCCGCGCTGGGATCCCGCCGCGATGGAGCCCGAGAAGCTGCGGCAGACCATGGCGGAGTTCTCGCCAGGGCCAGCAGAGGAGACCAGCGACGCCATGCTGGCGCGCGCCACGGAGCTGGCCGTCAGGGGCTTCAATCCTTACTAAGCTCATCATCGCGATGTCCTGCACACTTGCGATGGCGAAAGGCACTATCACTACCAGCAACGTGACTTCCTGGGGTTCATTGGCGCCGTGCCTAGAGACCCTCGAGTCGCACGTCGTTCTCGTCCAGGAGCATCACCGACGGGACGAGGCGAAGCTCGCCGACCTGCAGCACGAGGTGCTGGATCACGGGTTCGCGGGCATCTGGGCGCCAGCAGTGGCAGGCCCCACCTCCGCGGAGGGCACTACGGGCGGCGTCGCGGTCTTGGCCCGCAAGAACATCCCCGTCACGGCCCCGCCGCTGCTGCCCTCGGCGACACTGTGGCCAGGGCGACTGGTGGCCGCCCACGTGCACTGGGGAGTCCGTGGCGGCATTGTCTTCGTGTCGGCCTACCTGGTCGACAGCGTTGGCATGAACGACGTGAACCGAAGCATCTTCGGCGCGCTCACTCGCTACCTCACGAAGCTCACGGCCTCGGGCATCGATTGGATCGTCGGCGGCGACTTCAATGGGCCTCCCAGCTGCCTGCCCCTGGCGCAGTTGGAAAAGGCGGGGGGCCTCTGGCTAGCGCCGTCGGCCGACACCTGCCGCCCACAGGCGGGCAGCGGCTCGGTGCTGGACTACTTTCTGGTCGGTGCAAACCTGGCCAGCCGCATCTCGGCTCCGAGAGTGGATGAGTTGGGCATCACCTCCCCGCACCTCCCTGTCAACATGGAGCTGCGTGCCGCCGACCTGGACATGCGCGTGAGGATCCCGATCGCCCCCAGGGCGATTCCAGCGGTGCCGCCCATCGGCTGCAGCCGCGGTGTCGAGGACTGGGCGCCCACTTTGGCCCAGGTGCGCGCCACAACCAGCGCCGAGGAGCTGCCAGCAGCCTGGGACGCCGTCGTCAGCACCTTGGAGCAGGAGCTGTTGGACCGCTACGACCAGGTTGGCGAAGCGCGCAGGCGGTTCGAAGGACGTGCGGGGCCCATTGCGACCAAGCTGGCGCCAGTCAAGTGGAAGCCGCAAGGGCAGCGTGTCCGATTGGGGCCTGATGTCATCGCGGCCAAGGTCGCGGGCCGATGGGCGCGTCACTTCATGGGGGTCAGCGCGTTCCTCGCGAAGGCCAGCAGGAGGCTGCAAACCGCCAGCCTGCAGTGCTCCCTTGTCCCTGAGCAGTACCACGAGCTGGCGGACTTCGTCGCGAGGGCTTTGGAGTATGGGCGCGTGGTTATGGACAGCAAGAAGACGCTGGCACTGCTCCCGCATTGGGTGAGGTCCTTCTTCGAGCAGGGCTTTCGCGTGATCGGCAACACCGACTTCCTGGAGCAGGCGGGCCGCATCGTCCAGTTCGCCAAGGACGCCCACGCGGACGCGCTCAAGGTCAGGCAGCAGAGCTGGATCCAGTGGGCCAACGACAGCCTGCGGAACGGCGCTGGCAAGGCGCACCGCTTCACCAAGCTGCGGGCGATGCAGGAGGTGCTGGCGCAATGGCAGGGCACCCACACCGAGCTCACCACTGGACGGCTCGCCCAGACCTTCGTCCCGCAGCAGCAGGTCGCCAGCCAGCACCTGATCTGCGACCGGGAGATGAAGGCCTGGGAGGACGTCTGGTCGTGCCACAAGCTCGAGGCGCTGGAAAGGCCAGCTGACTTCGACGAATGGGACGACCTCGAAGACCTCACCGTGGAGGCGCTGCAGCGGGCCGCCTGCAGCTTCCCCACCACCACGGCGCTCGGCCCAGCGCAGATCGGTATGCGCGCGCTCACCTTTCTCACGGACGACGGCGTTTACACCTGCGGCCAGCTCTTCATGAAGTGCGAGGCGCTGGGGGCTTGGCCCAGCGAAAGGCTGTGGCACGCTATGTGCCGCATCCCCAAGGCCTCTGGCGGCTGCAGGCTGATCACGCTGATGCACTCGCTAATCCGATGGTGGTCGAGGGCTCGTGCCTCGACGTCCAAGGCGTGGCTGACGGCGCACCCCAATGCCAGTATTTGGGGCATGGGCGGCGGCAGATCTTCCTCCGACTCCGCCTTCGACCTCAACCTTGAGACGGAGGTATCGGACTGCCTGGACGAGCACGTCGTAATCGTCATGCTGGACGCCTGGAAGTTCTTTGAGACGATTAAGCCCGAGTGGCTACTCATCGAGGCGCGGCTGCTGGGCATGCCGCTGCGGTTGGTCTGGATGTTGATTGAGCTATACAGGCAGCCGAGGCGGCTGCAAGCTTTCGGCTCGGTGTCCTACGCGGTCGTGTCACATCAGGGCGTGCTCGCAGGATGCACTCACGCCTGTGCCATGGTCACCTTGCTCATGTTCAGGCTGCTCGAGCAGGTGCGAGATGCAGGCGTCACCCCGAGGGCCCTCATCGACGACGTCACCTTGCAGTGGCGCGGGAGGCGGCTCTCGCAACTGGGCGTGCTTTGGGCGGCCACCACCAGGTTCCGCGAGGGCGCCCAGGAGCGAGGCATTGTCGTGCAGCCCACCAAGTCGGGCTACTTGGTCTCATCGGACGCGGCTGCTCGCGAGTGTGCCCGACACGCGGCGGCCCGCAAGCTGACCAAGATGCGCTGGGCCCGCAACCTGGGGCACGATCTGGGCGGGCGCAGAATCGCTAGGCTCCAGACGGCAAAGCGGGTGCGGCAGCTCAAGGAGCGGCGCGGCAAGTTGGCAGCTTTCAAAGGGGCAGTGGGCAGGCGCGCTACCTGCCTGTGGAAGACGGGCCTCATGCCGAGTGCGGCGCACGGTGCTGGGGTGTCAGGGCTCACCGACGATACGCTGCAGGTGCTGAGGGCCGAGGCTGGCAGGCTTGCAGGGGCTCGGCCAGGTGCATCGAGCGTCACGGTGTATTTAGCCACGCAGAAGGCGCGCGAGTACGACCCCATCTACGGCGCCACCTGCGACATCGTTTGCCGATACGCCAGCTGGATCTGGGAACAACGCACCTCCCTGGCTAGGCTCCACAGGGCCTGGGCCAAGGTCACGGAGCGGCTCGTGGGGCGCCCGTCCTGGGCAGGGGCTCGCGGTCCCATCGCCTCCGTCACGCTGACGCTCTGGCGCATCGGATGGCACATGTACTCCAGCACGACCCTGGTCACCGACCAGGATACGGCGATCAACCTCCTCACCACGTGCCCGAAGGACGTCAGGATGCATCTGACCGGCGGCGTGCAACGCTGGCAGGCGAGGCAGATCGCGGCGCACCACCGCCAGCACGGCGAGGTCAAGCCTTGGGTGCGGGCCATGCGGCTCTGCGTGGGCGACGGGCGCGCGGCGTTGGCGGAGGGCCCGTCGGCCACCAGCCTGCGTCACCACTGGGCGACGGTGGCCTGGACGCAACAGGCCCAGCACGACCTTGGGCTGGCGGCGGCGCCGAATTGCAGGGCCTGCGGACATCCGTCCGACTCGCCTGGGCACAGATTTTTCGGCTGCGAGGTACTCGTGCAGCCGCTCACAGAGGAGGAGCAGGACGAGCAGCTGCCGCCCGAGCCGATGCAGGCCATCCGCACCTTCATGTGCGACAAAGGCCTGCAGGAGGGCGGCAGCTTCGAGAGCGCCGACTTCCAAATGTGCTTGCCCTGCATGCCGCCATTCGTGCCGCCCGCCGCGGAGCAGGCCGAGGTGAAGTTCTGGGGCTGCTGGCCTAGCCAAGGGGCGGACACGGCTTCCTGCAGCAACGCCGTCTTCACCGATGGCTCAGGCTTCGCGTCCAGCATGCCCGAGCTGAGGCGCTGCGGATGGGCCTTCGTGCAGCTTTCCCTCCAGGGACTGCCTGTTCGGGCGGCGTTCGGGGCGCTGCCAGGGCCGCTCCAGACGGTCGGGCGCGCGGAGAGGCACGCGCTGCTGCAGGCATTGCGGCTCGCGGGGCCGCAGCTCGAGTTCGTCTTCACCGACCTTCTGTCGATGGAGAAGGAATGCAGCCACTGGGGGCAGGAGCTAGAGGAGGCGCGAGCGGCACATGCCACAGTGTGGAGACGGATTCGTGCCCAGCCAGCGCGGCCTGAAGTGAGATGGATCCCCGCGCATCAGGACATGGATGCGTACTTGGACCGAGGCCTCCACCCGCTGCTGTACTCTGGCAACATGTGGGCCGACTGGTTCGCTCGGCAAGGAGCCATGCAGCACACCGTGTCGAAGGTGTACGAGGAGTTCTACAACATCGAGCTGCAACACTACAAGAGCCTGGCAAAGTACGTCGGCTGGGCGATGCAGAGGACGATGCACGCAGGCCGCTGGGATGCGCCCGAGCAGACAGCCCGCCCGCCAAAGGTGCCCAAGGTGCAGGCGGCGACTGTGATCAGCCACTCCCTGGTTCGCCTGAACGGGACGGCGGTGGTGCTGTGCCGCGCTTGCTGCAGGCAGACCAGCGGGCAGACGGGGCCCACATGGACGCAGTTCGCGCGTTCAGCTTGCGAGGCCAGCCAGTACACCGCGCTGCGGGCCGAGGCCATCATCGCGCACGTCGGCGCGCAGCCCATTGTGGTCTCGGAGGCGGGCGAGTTCGCTATGCAGGCGATCGAGCGCGCGGCGTGCCCCGAAGATGCGGGGCCCAGGCCAGCCGAGCCTGCCCCCTGGGGCTCAGGGGACGGCACCATCGAGATGCAGGGGCACAGGCTGAGGCGCGCAGGGCCCACCATCTACTGCGAGGTATGCGTGGCGTGGGCGGCGACAGGCTCCTCACTGGCCCTGGCTGCGCCCTGCGCTGGCCCGCCCAGCGCCGAGGGCAAGAACCAGCGCACCTACCTGTCCAACCTCAGGGCGCGGCTCAAGAAGCTCAGCCAAGGGCTGCACCCCAAGACAGGAAAGGTGCTCACTTGGGGAGGTGCAGGCGAGGCTCCAGACGGCCCCAGAACATGGGCCACAGCGGCGGCCAGCGCGGCCGCGGGCGACATGGCCTCTGGGGGCGACGGCGCTGCAGAGCGGCCAAGCGGCAGGCACGCGCAGAAGGAACAGGGCGAGGCGACCAGGCCTGGCCAGGACCACGAGACGCGCGAGGTGCCTGCAGGGGCTGGAGGTTCCG